CTTGGCCAGAGGCCAGATAACTGCGAACACAACAGCAATAACCACGGAGCTGTGGAAGTATTGAAAGACTTGTCACAAAAGGTATTTCAATCAAAATTACAAGTACAGAAACACTACTTGATCAGAAGAGTCTTCAAGAATCGATCAGAGCGAATCAGTGTCAAATCAAATGAAGTGAAGAATTCGTTTTGATTATCCAATTCAAATCGATTCAACAGAGGTCGCCAAGTTAACACAACCTGTCCGTCATCGCTGCTGGGGCACGTTGATTCACGCTAATTTCACGATCCTGCTGATCATTTGGCTATATTCGGAGCAAACTAGACGATTTCTACCTCCTCTTCCTGTTCTTCCGGATTTTTTCTTTGAAAACGTTCAACTTTTATCACACTCTACTCGTCAATGACTTGTCCCTCAAATATCTCCTAATTCTCTTGTTTTTGTTCCATAAAAAAAGCTGTTTGTGGAAGCTAACAGTTACAGCCACGTACCGAAGATGGAGTGGGCGTGGCTGCGTACTTCTTTGAACGTGGGGGGGATTATTTTCGTTGAGCAACAATTGTACTCATATTTATGTCCAGACCAGTAGCGTGGCAGTTGTTCCAGGTAGAAATATCCCACAAAAAAGGCATCTTCCGCCATGTTTATGGTAGCAAGCAGCCACGCCCTCCCCATCTCTGTGATATGGGATATGTGCTCAGTTTTATGAGGGAGTTTTATACCCCCCTCATGCGTTCCAGTGATGACCTCTGGCCCAGAGCGATTACGGAATGGATTCCACGGATTGCCTCACAAACGTTTGGACGACCGCCTACTCGATGGTTAAACTTCTTCGTGAAGGCTCTGAATGGGTGCTGTGCGGCGACGGGGAGGGGGGGGCATTTCACACTTTTGCTACTTCCCATCGACGTGTCGACCCATCTAGACAGCCTCTTCTCGAGTTGACAGGTTTTACCATGATGGCTTGACGAGCTTGCTCCAGCTTCACAAGAGTTCACAGGTTTCACCAGAGTGAGACTTGTAAACCAGAACTAGTGAAGCAACGAAAGTGCAAAATACCCCCCCCGTCGCCGAAGTGCGTCGATGGAGGGGGTTACTATCCCAAATTGCGAAAGGCGTGGCCAGAAATCGTTTCGAGGAGAACTTGTGTGAACGAGTTCTGACAACTAGAGGAACCACAGATGCCGTATAGTATAGCGCATAGTCGAGGTAACACTTTTCCGCCGCCACTCGCGGGTAAGACGACAATCGTAATATGCTGCTCTGCAGGGCGTGGCAAGCGACGCTGCGCAAGGACGAGATACCCTGTCTGGTAGTTTGAATTTGGATGATAACGGGACGGAAAAGATCCATATCGCGCGACATAAACTTTGACTTCACTTGACTTCACGTGTGTTCTGCTGCTCCATCCGACGAGCTAAAACGTACCGAAGACACCGAGGGTTTGTCGCGTATTCGCCGTCGCGCGCGATGGAGCGGCAAATTGCGATAGTCTTGTCTATATCTCGCCATTCGCACTTTGTGAAATTTCTAATTCCACACAGATTTCCTGTAGTTTCGCGACAAGGAGCCCCTTCCATTATTCTAAAGGCGTAATCTACCTTGAACTGCCAAGTCGCCCCGGAAACAGGTCTGACTCCGCCCCTAGGACTAGCGTGAACTGCGTCTCTCATCACTTCAAGTCCTAGGAAAGCTTGCCAGTTTTTTTAGTACTCCGCTCAATATCACCGTTTCAGGACCTATTCCCCCTTCATTGGCTATGACGAACGAGATGGATTAGCGCAACAAGAAGGTTCAAGTCGTCCTAAGGATGCTATTGTGTGTAATTTTAACCCTTATTTACATCGTAGCTTGTGGACACGGTTTGAAGACAGGTAAGGACAGCTATGTTATACATTTCTACTTGGACTGCTTGATAGGACGCGAAGTTTTTGGCGCCGGGTAGCACTTTTTTTCGTAAATAAATGAGACGCATTCTCGGAAGCGATTCAGTCGCGTGACTATGGCTTACTACACTCCACCGACAGTCAGTGGGCCGCTGCAAAGGTCGGTAAAAAACCCCTTAGAAGTGATAGAGTAGGCACAATGCGCAGCAATTATTGGAGAAACATGGTATGCCGTGGTCACGCGACTGAACCGCTCGCCTCGAGAAGTATGAACGCGACCTGATCAGCGTGATGAGCTAGAAACGGATGGGCATTTGCTCTTGTATGTCTGACGAGCTAGGCTAATTCTGGCTGTGGATCACCAAAATTAGCGCAGCTAGTCGAATATTACTTCACCGAGGGAGCGCTGACGAGCAGCAAGAGGGCGTTGACCAGTCTGGACCGCCCAATTACGGGCATGGCATCCGTTCAAGCAGAACGCGAGGTTTGTCTGGTTCGGATGAGTCAAAATTCATGGTCCCGGGCAAGAGGTCGCCGTGCGACGTCGCGCACTTCTGAGCGCGTCTTTCGCAGCAATCGATTCGAGGCGTTAGATGAACACAAAGCTTTGAGTGTACGCAGAAATGAAGAAATTGTATGTGATTGTAAGAGTGTGGAGGGAAATAAAGGAATAATCCGCACCCCAGTGCGCGCGACGTCGCGTGGTGCCCTGTTGTTGCACACTCGAAACCCTTCCCAGGTGGCGCTACGCTACCAACTCCGTGCGTGAAACTGCTACAGGGCGCTCCGTTACTGCTGTCCAAGAGCTTCTGTTTCGAAGTGACCTTTTTTCAGAAACCACGGAAGTATGGGCAGGAGACGGTCCCCATGGTCGTTCAGATCGATCAGTCAAAGAAAACGTGAGCTGATTAGACCATCCAAGATCAAATTCGCGAAAATATCGATCTACTGAACAGGTTGTGATTTTAGCCGTTCTCTTGGACTATGCGGGTGAGAGCCGTGAATCAAGAACGTCATATTGTGTACACTAAAAAAGACGCCTCACTGGAGGAGATCCTTCCGGAGAAGGTAAGTTCAGGCAGAATCCCTAAACATCTCTATACATGAATCATTCAAGGGTTCAGTCGACAGAATCGTGTGTGCGGGGTGCGCGCCCATTTTTTCTAACCTAAGAGGGAAGAGGAAGGGGGCGCCGACTAAAGCAAGTGGGCACGATGGCTGGGAGCGGGCGGTTACGCCATTCCCGTCATTGGTGGAAGAGCTGCAAAATTGCGCACACCCTTCCTGTCCTTTCCACCAAACGGCGCTGGTGGAAAAAAGCCCGCCCCAGCCATCCCGTACACTGCCTTCGGAGAAGCCGGGAGCAGCCCCAGCGTGAACTGTTCCTTCAAAACAGTGAAACCCTCTCAGTTCAGCCCTAACAACTACTCTTTTTGCAGAAGGACACAGGAGAGGGAGAAGCGCCAAGCGAAAATGATTTTATCGTTGCCAAACTGCTTGCGCCAATTAGTGCCACGAAAAGCTCGACTGATGACACCATTGAAGCATCCGCTTCTGACGTTGATGACGAGGATTATGCAAAATCCTCAACTGTGATCGGAGCGGAAGTCACAGTCAATGCAACAGAAGGACCCGAAGAAGCATCTGGAACCACGCCAGAAGAAATGATTATGGCTGAACTCTTAGACACATCTGGAAGAGTAGGACCAATGTTTGAAATCCACGGTAATTTAAGCACTGAAGCTGGCCTTAGCGCTTCTGGTGACGACTTCTGACGTTGGCTTTTCAGAACAGATGATCTTCCGACCGCCACAGCCACTGCCACATCCGGACGTGGAGCACGACGAATCGACACCGGTTTGCTCGAAAAGGAGCTTATGATCAGAACACCGGTCAGTTTACATAAAATTTCCTCTCATTTAGGATCGAATCGCATCAAAAGCGTTTCGCGCAGCTGTTTTCCCAGAAGGTGGGCTAATAACTTGCAATGCTGTGCAACGCTTCGCCGACGCGGGTGGACATTTCATATCTTACTGCTTGAAAATAGTTCCTCTTCAACAAGTTCCGCTGCGCTGGTTAAAACCTGTAAACACCCTTGTGAAGCTGAGGCAAAGCGTCGTCTAGGCCACCGATGATAAAACCGTCAACTTTGGTCTGCTCATAAAAGAGCTCTTTAGATGGGCCAGAGTGCAAAATGCCCCCTCCTCCCACGTCGCCAAACTGTGCCCGTGGGACGTGTTTGGACATACCGCACAGTGAGAAATCTCTGATTTTACGTGTGATTTCGTATTTTCAAGGCAGCTTGCTTTCATTATTTAACTCTGAAAAGTTCTGAGGAGTCTGAGTTCTTACTGTAACTAGAGTGGGCAACTGTTTCCCATAAAATACGTCTGTTAAGCCAAAAGCCATGTCTATGACGGCTTCTGTTTGTTGTGTGTTTATCGGCAACAGACAATTCACATGTGTATAATGAAAACTTTAATTTAGAACGTGGATCTTGTAGATCTTCGCAAAAAACTCAATGATAGTGCACACCTGGAGGAGATGAAAGGCGATAATCATCGGTAAGTCAGTTCTGCACTACTGGATTAAAGTCATGGTTCTCGCTAATCATTTGGGCGGAGCGGGGCCGACCGAAGAGGGGCGACAGATGAAGAAAGCATAGTGAATGATCAGTATG